GGCCATAGGATCAATCGATTTTGGTGATTCACGGACTATAAGGAGTGAGAGACAGTGGGCTTCTGGCTTAGGCAACTGAGCAAATAGTGTCACAACTCTGACTACAAATGACTGACCAAGGGCCCTGCCTGACTCAGCATGGCCAGATTTTTCAGAGAGGCAGCCAAGCAAAATGATGAGCAAAGGTCCCTGGGTTTGGTGGCCACCACAGAATTTCAGGAGTAATCTCAGTGAAGTATGGGGTGGTGTGGGGAAATGTAGGCCAAATTAGAAGGGCTTCAAGGAGTACATAAGAATAAGGAATTGAAAACATTGGGTTTAGACCAGCTTTATTGTTAAACTTTTGGCAGAGAGAGAAAGAGAGGAAGGTGAAACATGATGGCTGATGGAAGGAACAGGGTAAAGGGAATTTATAAATTTCCTTCATAAAATAGAATTTATAATTTATTTTTATAAAATAAAATTATAATGAATTAAAAAATTATAAATGTGATTTAAGATGCTGTAGACAGAGGAAGCAGAGAGAGGTTGGAGACCAAAGATGAATTAGAACAATTAAAAAAATATGGACCCAGAAGTAGAAAAGTATAGAGATAATAATCAAAGTGGTGGGTTTAGATAGACTTGGGAAAAGTGACTATGAATGAACCCCTTTCTCTAAGAGGAGGAAAAGAGAAGATCATGTGAGAAGAAGGGATTTTATATGAGGGTGTGACAATGGAAGAATTTTGAGGTGGAGAGACAAGAAGTCAAAGTAGTTCATGTGAAGTGTTCGTCTCCCTGGGACAATAACTTCAGGCCCATGGAAATGGTTTGGGTTAGCAGTTGAGCGGAATATGGTAGGAGCCAGCGAGTGATGACAGACAGCATAGTTGTGCACGAGCAAAAATCTTCTTCAGGGTTCAGCTACCTGTTAGGGACACTCAAGAAAGATGAAGGAAAGACCAAGAGAGCGGTCTGATTGTACTCTCCTTACCACTCATTTCTGCATGGTCTGCATCTGCCCTGCGTAATGTCTGTTTCCCAACTCATTTGTGTTTTCCAAGTTTATCAGCTGTTATATCTGAACAGCCAAACACAGTGCTTAGGAGTGAGCGTACCTGTGAAGAAACAGAGCAGCAGAGCGGTAGAGGTGAGCCGGGACAGTGCTGGATAAGGAATCTTCCACCTCCCAGACACATCAAGGTCTGGCTGCTTCCTGGACAGAAAACTTTCGCTTTTTCCTGCCTCTGCATTTTTGCTTATGTTTCTATCAGAATTTCCTTTTTTTTTCCCCATTTGGAAATGCAACATGTCGACTTAGATTAAACATTTCCTCTTGGAAGCTTTCTCTGGTCCCTTCCCCTAGAATAGATCTCTTCTGAATGTCTCTGGTACTATGCACAACATTTAGGAACTTCATATTTTGTATTATTTTATTGGTTTTTATTTTTTATTTATTTTATGAATAAAGATGTCTGCCATATTTGTTAAGTTTGTGTGATCTTGGGGATAGGAAACATGTTTCAAATTTCTTTGATCTTAGGCTGGAAACTATCATAAAGTAAATGCTCAATAATATTTAACTAAAAATATACAAAATAAACAAAAGAGAGCTGCCAAATGATGAATGTCTTTCAGAGGCAATGACATGGTGAAAAAACACACAGACTTTGAAGTTAGGCAGCCCTGAATTTCAATCAGTTTGTAATCAGATTACTAGTTGTGTGATCTTAAACTAGCTTCTTAACCTCTTTGAGCATCCACATTTTTAATCATAAAGTGGAGTTCATGATAACTGCATTGCAAACTTAAGGAAGATTAGAAATAATATAAATCATCTAGAAAAAAGTTTGGCATGTAGTAAATACTCATTAAACAATAGTTATTATTATTATTTGCTTTATCGTCTATTATACTTAAAATGTAAGTAACAGAGTTGTCAAAACCCAAATATGCACTATATAGCCTAAATAGTGATGAGAGGAGGTTAAAAACAAACTATTTTTTCTTTTTGGAAACACAGTCTCACTCTGTTGCCTGAGCTAGAGTGCCGTGGCATCAACCTAGCTCACAGCAACCTCAGACTCCTGGGCTCAAGCAATCCTTCTGCCTCAGCCTCCCAAATAGCTTGGACTACAGGTATGTGCCACCATGCCCGGCTAATTTTTTCTATATATTTTTAGTTGTCCAGATAAATTTTTCTATTTTTAGTAGAGAGGGGGTCTTGCTCTTGATCAGGCTGGTCTCAAACTCTTGAGCTCAAGAAATCCTCCCACCTAGGCCTCCCAGAGTGCTAGGATTACAGGCATGAGCCACCGCACCCGGCCAAAAACAAACTATTGACATGCTTTAAACTGAGCTGGAGGAAGCACAAAATATTCTATTTATAATCTGGCCTTGGATCCAGTAAGCAACTGACCACAAGCTGCTGGGTAGATGCACCACGAGGCCATCAGGTGCATCTACTACTCACTTCATTGTTCACTGCAAGTGCTTATCCAAGGGTCTATATGGTACAAACCACACAAAAATGGCTCCATGCACAGATGGTCTGGGTTTCACTTCATTCAGTTTGTAGAGTTTAGCATGGCCAATCTGTCACAGGGAATAATCCTACCCTAACCAGATGGAGGGATCAGTTCACCAAGTATCGTCTCATTCCCATTTCTAATGACTATAATTACATGAAGTAATCTTTCTATCAAACAAACATCTTTTACGCTAAAAATAAAAGCTCATGGTTAATTTGGAGGAAGACTTTGCCCAGGAGTTCTGCAATTAGTGAATGTCTTGTTGGGTGACCAGCAGGGAACTGAGGGCCTGCCACCCGAAGTGAAAACAGGCCACAGTGCAACAGCAACCACTTGAGTAATTGGATATGTATATTCAAGGAGCCACAAGGTTGCCAAGGAGAAATGAACCATGATGGGCTGTTTAGAATACAAGTATTTTAGGGAGAGTAAAAAATATCCACTTCTATTTTGCCATACATTTGTAAATATCTTTCTATCCTGGGATGAAAGATTATATGCAAGCAAATATGCTAGTAACTCTTTTCAAAAAACACTTGACTAAATTTGGCTAAGAAACTTAACATTGTCAGGGAAGTTGCTGCAAATAATATGCTTCTCTTTGCTATTATCAAACAGTCCTGGGGTGGCTAAACCATACTCTCCTTTTTGGAAGGTATGTGAGTAGGGATGTGGGTGAACTGAGTTCTGTGAGTAGAGTATCAGAGCTGGTAATAATAACCTGGAAGACACAAGTGTAGCAGGTGCTGATGGTGTTTTCAGCATCAGATCACCCCCTAGGCTCCCTCATTCCTAGGCTCATTTCTTGACTGTCCCCTTTGCATACTGTCTGTTTCAGTTGTTTTCAGCTACCTGCAGTATCTACAGTAGGCCATCTTTCCTCTATCTCCTACGGTTCCCTTATGTATGTTGTTTTCTTTGCCTGAACACACCTGCTGAACTTTCCTTCTGGGTAATTCCTAGTTTTCCTTCAAGTCTCAGCTCTGACATCACTGTCTTTAGAAAGTCTTCCCTGAACACATCCTAAGATGCCTCTTCTCTGTTCTTCCATACCACCTGATATTTCCCAGGTAAGCACTTGTCACATTATGTATTACCTGTTTATTTGTTTTTCTCCTCATTAGTCTGAAACTCCTTGAAGGCAAGTGCTGGATCTTATTCACAGTGAGATCCTCAGTACCCAGCAAGTTACTTGGGACTTAACAGGTGAGCAATAAGTGTTTGTTTAACAGTTGAATGAATAAATAAATAAGGGTACTTTCCCTGTAGCCTAAAAATACCAAAACTAGACATTGTGTCAACATGATGCTAAAGAAATCAGACATGATGGAAGTGAAACAAAATATTGGGTGGAAAAGTTTTGCTTTAAAAAATCATTTTATGTTAAAAGAATCTTAATGTATGAAATGTTTTAAGAACAATATAAAGAACTTTATTTCTGGAGCCATTAGATACCAACTTTCTGGATGTGTCATCATCTCTAAATACTTTATTTTGTATTTTAAAAAAGGGGAGGGCATTTTACAACATAACACAATACTGAGAATCAGAGAATTACTTGGATCACTATTTAATCCATAGGCCTCATTCCATTTTTGCCAATTATGCCAATAATGTCCTTTACAGGAAATGGTCAGCCAAGAATCAGGGGTTGCATTTAGTCTACTTCAGTCTGAAATAGCTCTGCAGCCTTTCCTTGACTGCCATTACTTGACACTTTTAACAGGCTAGTTTTCTTTTTGGTAGAATATCACTTGTTCTAGATTTGTCAGATGTTTTTCATGATTAGGTTAAGATTAGATTGAACTGGAACATCACAAGAATGATGTTAAATTTTTATCTCTGCATCATATTAGATGGCTCACAATTTTGATTTGCCCTATTATTGTTGGTGGTAGCATTCATTACTAGAGTAAGGTGCTGTTGAACAACCTTCTGCACTGCAAAGGGATTCTTTGTTCCCCTGTCTTAATCCATTTTATGTTGCTATAATAAAATATCTTAGACTGGGTAATTTATAAACAGAAGGAATTTATTGCTCACACATTTGGAGGCTGGGAAGTCAAGATTAAGGTGCTGGCAGATTCAGTGTTTGATGAGGACCTGTTCCTCATAGATGGTGCCTTCTATGTGTCTTCACATGGCAGAATGGGTGAATAAGTGCCCTCAGCACTCTGTTATAAGTGCACAAATATTAATACCATTCATGAGAGTGGAGTCCTCATGACCTAATCACCTCCTGAAGGCCCCACCTTTTAATATCATCGTTGGAGATATTATGTTCCAATTTAAAAATTTTGGAAGGACACAAACATTCAGATCATAGCATCCCCTTGTAATTCATTACTTTTCCTATTTATTTTGATACACAAATTGGCCCATGGTTAGCCAATGGGAGCCCCTTCTAACTGACTTTTGTGTTCCTTTGACACGTCCTCATAATGATTTGAACATTCCTTACATTCTGGCACAAGAAAAAAATTCTAAGTTCATCTTATACTTTCTCTGCTGTAGCACTGGAATCAGTCATTTCTCCATGGAATCCTGTTTCTCTTTCGTGGAAAATGTAATTCATGGTGTTATGATCTTTATGCTGGTTGTATTATTTATACTAGTTGTGCTCACTGCCATTGGGTGTTTCTGTGCCATGTCCTCTCAGTGGACAGGTCTAAAGAAGTTATAAAACTTGCATTTATATCTACATGTATTTATTTACTTATTTATTTTTAATTTTTTTATTTCAGCATATTACAGGGGTACAAATGTTAGGGTTACATATACTATCTTTGTCCCACCCAAGTTAGAACTTCAAGTGTGTCCATTACACACCATACCCATTAGGTGTCACAAGAATGGAAAAACAAGCACCACATGTACTCACCATCAAATTGATATTAACTGATCAACACTTATGTGCGCATATAGTAGTAACATTCATCAGGTGTCAGGCAGGTTGGAGGAGGGAGGAGGGGATGGGTATATATTCAATTTTTTAAAATTTCAAAATATTAAGGGGTACACATATTTTTGTCACACAAATACATAGTATAATGCTTAACTTGGGGTTTTTAGTGTGCCTGTCACTGGAATATTGTTCATTGTAACCAATAGGTAAGTTTTTATCCCTCACCCACTTATGCTCTCCCTTCTTCTTGGTTTCCAATGTCCTTTACATCTTTTTGTGCCCATGTGTGCCCATTGTTTAGTTCTCAATTATTGGTGAGTACATGTAGTGAGATACTTTTCCATTCCTGAAATACTTCACTTAGGATAATGGTCTCCAGTTCCACCATTCCTTTTTATAGCTAAGTAGTACTCCATGGTGTGTGTGTGTGTGTGTGTGTGTGTATCACATTTTCTTTATCCATTCATGAATTGATAGGCACTTAAGTTGATTCCACATCGTTGCAATTGTGAATTATGCTGCAATCAACATTCTAGTGCAGATGTCTTTTTGATAAAATGACTTCTTTTTCTTTGGGTTGATACCCAGTAGTAGGATTGTTGGATCAAATGGTAAGTCTGTATTTATTTCTTTGAGGAATCTCCACACTGTTTTCCATAGGCATTGTACTAATTTACAATCCCATCCACAGTGTATAAGTGTTCCTTTCTATCTGTATCCATGCCAGCATTTATTGTTTTTCTTGACTATAATATTTAATAATGGCCATTCTGACAGAGGTAAAGCAATAGATATTGTGGTTTTAATTTTCATTTCCCTGAGGATTACTGATGTTGGGCATTTTTTCATGTTTGTTGGCCATTTATTCCATAACATTGAGAAAGAGGGAATCCTCCCTACTCATTCTGGGAAGTCAGTATCACCTTAATAACTCATTCTATGAAGCCAGTAGCACCTTGATACCAAAGCCAGGAAAAGAAACACCAAAAATGAAAACTAGAAACCAATATCCATTATGAACATAAATGTAAAAATCCTCAACAAAATACTAGCAAACCAAACTCAACCAAAACAGTATGGTACTGTTAGCATATCTAAAAGATATATAATTCACCATGATCAAATGGGTTTGATCCCAGGGATACAAGGATAGTTCAACATATGTAAATCAATAAATGTGATTCATCACATAAACAGAAGCAAAAACAAAGACCATGTGATCATCTCAATGGATGCAGAACAAACATTTAGTAAAATACAGCACCTTTTCATGATAAAAACCCTCAACAAACTAGAAGGAACATACCTGAAATTATAAAAGCCATATATAACAAACCCATAGCCAACATCATATTGAATGGAGAAAATTGGAAAGCATTCTGCCTAAGAATTGGAAGAAGACAAAGGTACCCACTATCATCATTTATTTTCAACATATTATTGAAAGTCCTATCCAGAGCAATTAGGCAAGAGAAATAAATTAAGGGTATCCAAATTAGGAAAGAGGAGGTCAAAGTTTGCATTTTGCTGATGATATGATCTTATATCTAGAAAACCCCAAAGACTCCACTAAGATATTCCTGGAATTGATAAATAAATTCAGCAAGTCTCAGGCTACAAAGTCAATATACACAAATCGGTAGCATTTTTATAGACTAACAACAGTCAAACTGAAAGTAAATCAAGGACTCAATATCATTTACAATAGCTACAAAGAAAATAAAATCCCTAGTAATATACTTAACCAAGGAGGTGAAAGTTCTCTCCAAGGAGAACTACAAAACACTGTGAAAGAAATCATAGATGACACAAATCAATGGAAAAATATCCCTTGCTCAAGGATTGGTAAAATCAATATCATTAAAATGTCCATACTGCCCAAAGTGATTTAGAGGTTCAATGAAATCCCCATCAAACTACCAACATCATATTTCACAGATCTAAAAAAGTAATCATAAGCTTCATTTGGAACCAAAAAGGATCCCAAATAGTCAAAGCAATATTAAGCAAAAAGAACAAATCTGGAAGCATCTCATGACCTACCTTCAAATTATACTACAAGGCTATATAGTAACCAAAACAGTATAGTACTGGTATAAAACTAGAAACTATAGATCAATGGAACAGACTAGAGAACCCAGAAATAAAACCATCTATCTACAAGCAGCTGATCTTTCACAAAGCAGACAACAATATACACTGGGCAAAAGAAGCCCTTTTCAATAAATGGTGCTGGTAAAACTGGATAGCCACATGCAGAAGAATGAAACAGGACCCCCATCTCTTGCCATATACCAAAATTAATTTAAGATGGATAAAAAAACCTAAATGTAAGGCATGAAACTATAAACATTCTAGAAGAAATGTAGGAAAGACTCTTCTGGATATCCGCCTAAGCAAAGAATTTATGACTAAGGCAAATACAGCAATAACAAAAATAAATAAATGGGACAATAAAGTTCCATTTAATGTAATTAAAAATTTAAAAGCTTCTGCACAGCCATGGAAATAATCAACAGAGTAAATAGACAACCTACAGAATGGGAGAAAATATTCACAAACTATACATCTGATAAAGGGCTAATTCTAGAATTTACAAAGAACTCCAACAAATCAGCAAAAAAAAACAGAACCCAATAAAAAGTGGGCAAAAGACATAAAAGGAAGTTTTCCTGCTTTTATTTACTTATCTGTTTATAAATGGTGAAAACCATGGTGTCACAGTGATATCTCCAATTTCAATCTAATACCATAGGGTTCAATTTCATTTTTTTATTTCTATATTTGTTACTCTTCTTTACACCCCTGAGAATCTTGGCTCCCGTTATCCTAAATATGTTTACTTATTTTATCAGTTTCCCCTATATATAACCAATCTCCCATCCCTGACACCACATCCCTCCCATACAGATGCTTTCCTTATTCTTCCTGGGCTCTGACCTCATTTGTTGGGTCCCTGATGTTGATGTCTCCTCCCGCATTGTAGCAGGATTGTCAGTGTGATCAACAGAATACACAACAAGGATTGTATGCCAGTTCCATTGCTGGATAATAAAAAAACATTGTGGTGTCTGCCACTCTCTCTTTGATCACTTGCTCTGCAGGAGGGCTGGTGACATATCATGAAAAGAGGTCCACAGAGTGAAGAACTGAGGCTTCCAGCCAACAGCCATATTAGGGGCACCATGAATCCTTCAGTCCCAATCAAGCCTTCGGATGGTTGCAGCCCTGGCCAGCAGCTTGACTTCAATGTCATCAGAAACCTTGAGCCTGAACTACCAAGGTAAGTGGTTCCTAAATCCCTAATCATCAGAAATTATGGGAGATAATAAACACCCATTGTTTTAAGCCACTAAGTTATGAAGTAATTTGTTATGCAGCAATAATGAATACATGTTAGGATGATCATCATATTTTTTCCTGACTTTCCTCATTTAAGCATTGAAAGTCCCAGGTGTTGAGAAAACCCTCAGTCCTGGATAAACCAGTACAGTTGATTGGCCTACGTGTTAAACAAAATATAAAGTACATTAACATTGTGGAGTCATGGGCTCATGTTAATGGCAAATAGCAACATCTCGATCCCCAGTATAATCATTATTATATTTAAAATGAAATCATTGAAATAAAAGATTCCTAAATTCCTTCCCAAACCAAAATTAATTCTGTGACTTAATGGGTCACATTTTTGGGTGGCAGCTGTAAAAACTATTCCAAAAACAGGTAGGCTAAGCCTGGCCAGTAAATTCCAATGCAAGGAACGCTGCATTCCTGCCAAAAGGGGAAAGTCTTGTATCAATTTATGGCCCACAAAAGAGATCCTGAAAACGTGGGGTTTTTAATCTAACTGCTGCCTGGCTGAAAAAGATTTAGGTCCTAATCTTTAATGTTTGGTCCTTTTGTTTCTTTTTTAGACTATGTAGGATTTTTACAAAAGTACAAGTTAACAATCCCAACCACCTGTCATGTAAACAAAAGAAGATTTATTACCTTTATCCAAAGAATAACATGTTACCTAGCTTATCAGAAGTTTTGTGTGAAATTGCAAAATTGTCTTGTTTGTTTTTTTTTTTTTTTTTTGTCCTGAGATGTGTTGCTTGTGTGTCACTTCCTAAACACTTTATTTATAAGTATTTAGGAAGCTTATGACTCTGTTGTGATCATGGGATCATGGTGGGACAGAATGCTTTGTGACTTGATTAAGACTGCCACTGTCTAAATCCCTATTAGGAAAAGCTTTTCTCTATTTCCTTCCTTTCCTTCCTTCCTTCCTTCCTTCCTTCCTTCCTTCCTTCCTTCCTTCCTTCCTTCCTTCCTTCCTTCCTTCCTTCCTTCCTTCCTTCCTTCCTTCCCTTCCTCTTTTCCTCCCTCTCTCTCTCTTTCCCTTTCTCATTTCTTTTTTAAAGAAAGTCTACGTGAGACATGTCTGGAAAGTATCCAGCCTTTGTTAATGTAAGGAGAACATATTACATGGCTGGATGCTTTCCAGACAGGCCTCGTATATATGGGCAAGAGGAAAAAAGGAATCTCATTTCTGATCCCCTGGAAATCCCAGAAATTGTATGGATAGACAGTAACCATGGGGAGCAGAGGGCAACTAGGGAATCTGAGACATCTGAGCACAAGGCACAGGTGGCCTCAGAGGAGAAAGGTTGTATGAGAAACTAAGAGGGAGAGGAACCTCATGAAAGGCCCATCAGTTAGTAAAGTAGAGGGAGTGAAGTTCTGGCAAAGTCACTTTCTCTCAAGTTGGCTACATGGAGATCTACGGCAACGAGATGGTGCTGTGTGTGGCCCAGCAGTTCCCGTCTAACATTCAACAGTGGTTCTGCAAAGCCTCAAGGAGCAGAGCTAGCAATAGCAGCAGATGGGGAGACTCCAGAGTGTTCATCAGTTTGGGATGAGACCTTCGCTGGACCTCCTGTTTGTGTTGCATTAGTTCTTTGGAGGTTCTATGTGACACAGGGGACTGGGGCAGACACAAGAGGGTAAAAATAAATCTTCTGATGTGCTGCTTTTAAAATATGTCAGTAAATTCTTCAACACTCTGCAGTAGGTGGAAACTAATTGCTCTCATTCTCAGGTGTGGACTGGACACAGTGACTTGCTTCTCATGAATAGAATATGGGGGAGGTGATAATGTATGATTTTGGAGACTACAGCATAACAGGCATTGTGGCGTTCTCCTTGCTCTTGCTCTTATGTCACTAGTTCTTAAGTCACGAGCACATTCAAGCTGCCGTATGGAGAGGTCTGTATGGCAAGGAACTGAGCCTACCTACTGACATCCAGCAAGCATCTGAGGCCTCCTGTCCACAGCCTTGTGAATGAGCCACCTTGGGAGCAGGTCTTCCAGTTCCAGTCGAGCCTTCAGATCACTGCAGCTCTGACCAGCACCTTGGCTGCGACCTCATGAGAATCCCTGAGGTGGAATCCCACAGCTGAGCAGCTCTCACATTCTTGACCCAGAGAAACTGTGAAATAATAAATATTCATAGTTTTTTAAAGCCACTACATTTGTTATGCAGCAATAGATAACTAATACACCCACCAATCCAGGGATGGAATCTCAGACGTGTTTTAATAAATTTTAGTGAAATAAAGGACTATGACTATACCTACCCTTTGAATATTGAGTTACAAATCATATGGATCTAATATAACAGGGAATCTCTACATCATCAGAGATATTAATAATAACATACATCACAGCTTATGTGCTCCATAGTCTAGGACCTTCCCGGGCTTTTCTCTGCCCTGCTCCAAGGCCATTGGGTGTGTCTTTGAGGACTTAAATTCTGGGGGAAATAAATTTTTCAGCCCCAAATTACTGGAACATAAGACATTTCTGATTAATCAAAACATCTCAAGGAGTTTCTCATATAAATTTCAACAAATGGTAAATATTTGCGAAGTGATGATATGAAGTACTTCAAAATATTTCAGGTTCTTAATCTGCAAATAAAAGTAAATAAAATGTAAAAAGACAAAAAAGAATCAACTGCTTTAGCTCTAGAATAAACACCCTGTATATAGTTTCACTGGGAACTGATAACCCTATGTGCCTTTGAGATGTGCTACATTGATTCCTGACCTTTAGGTGGGAGAATGTCATTTGACAAATGCAAAGTGACGGACATTTACTGGCAATCTTTCAGGTAAAAGCACTCCTTATGTGGAAATTCAACATAGCTGAGGTTGCTGTTCAAAAAATAGACACTTGCAGGGTGAAAAGACTTGCCTGCACCACTCTCATTCCAATACATTGCTGTGAATTCTCAAAGGTTTTGTTTACTGGTTCAGTCTTGACCTGATTCACGACCCTGGGGAATTCCTGTTGGTAGGTTCATTCACAGATTTAATTTTTGTTCTGAGATGATTTGAATAAAAACTGGTTGTTCAGGTAGTGAACACTATAAAAACATACAGATGGAGAAATACACACACACACACAATCACACGCGGTAGTGGAGGCTTCACTGGGAAGACATTGATGCATTTTGGGTAATGCTTATTTAAAAGTACTTTTTCTGCTGAATACTCAAAATAATTTCACACAATACTCATTGAACAACTTTTATAAAAAATATCTGAGATGGAGATTTTATGGATCAGAGCAGAAATGGGAAGAAAAGGACCATTCAATCAAACAATATCTTTCTAAAAATGCTGAGGAATCTCTTAATGAGGCAGTTGGTTTTCCCCCAAGATGCCCAGCTTCATTTCCAATGCTGGGTAGATGTATTAGCTTTGCACTTTTGGAGACATGGGTGGGATGGAAGAACACAGTGGCATCTGGGGTTTGGCAGAATTTCTCAAATTATTTTTCAAACACTTTAGGTTTGGCAGAGGCAGATTGGATTTTGCCAAATGCTTTTTTCCTTTCTTTGAAACTACAGTACTTCAAGGAAAATTTAATACATATGCTTTTGATTTACTTATTCTCAAGTCATCAAATTATTGCCTTGAAACAATTGGTTAATGCCCCATAAAGTCTTTTGAACCATTTAATGAAGTTGTTGTAAACTCCTCCCTGCACCCCATTCCCTTTCCTTTGCCCCTAACATCAAAGTCATGTGATGCCAACATTAAATCAAACCAAAAATTTAAAAACTTTGCATTTTGTTCCCTATTTAGAACCCTGTGCGTATGAGGTAGTTCTAAGATTAGCCCTAAATATCGTCTATTGTTACTGGATAATACAGTTATAGGATCATAAAACTTTTGAGTTCAATCATTTATTCAGCATAAAATTCCTTTTTCCATCCTTCTGGGCAATCACTTAGAGCAGGAAATGTTTTTCTTTATTACTGTAAATAGGTTTTCCCCTAAATTATGATTCAAGTGCAGAGTAGTTGCGTGACGTGGTTATTATCCAGGGAAATTATGCATTGGTGACCTGGGAAAGGTCAGCCTTTCTTGGACTCACCTCTCAAGGCTTAAAACTGGGCTCTTGACTCATTTGGGAATCCCAAAGGCATAGAAAATCCCAGATCCTATAAACTGATTGCATCATTTCTACATTCAAACCTACTTTTTATTCCTATCTTTTCTTGATCAGAGAATGGTACCAGACTCTCTCTCTCTCTCTCAGTCTCTCTCTCAGTCTCTCTCTCTCTTATTTGAGCCTTCTTCCTGAAAAGCCTACCCTCTACCATGTCTATCCGGGGGACATACACATTCAACGAACATTTACTGAGTACCTGATCTCATTAGAAAAGTGCTGAAGCCAAAAAGAGAAAGGCAGAAGTCAAATGAATATTGAATGTTTATACCGAGTTATGTTGTATTCTGTGCTTAAATGGTAACGTAAGACTGGACAGAGTCATATGGTGGAAATCCTTTCTAGGGATGTGCAGCCAAGTAGAAGCGGACGGCCATAGCTAGAAGCCCGTGGATAAGAGCAGTATCAGGATAAGGATGCCCTCAACTGACCCAGAAGCTCCAGGGAGCATATACTCCTTGGGCTATATGACAATGACCCTCCCCTTTCAAGAAAGTGACATTTGTAAATTGGCTACACCTGTGTAGGAGCATAGAAAGCGTTCTAGGGGGACTGACAGGGTGGAGCCACTGGCCTAATTTAGGGACTGGAACAAGGTAAGCATGAATGGGCAATCCGGGTGAAGAGCACCAGGATGTGAGTGAGGCTGGTTCATCTCTTGGCCGTGCAGAAGAGGCAGCTCTAGTTGTGAAATCAAGGGTCTTGCACTGAGCATGCAGCTTACAGTTTTTAAATAAACCTGTCGTTATGCTTGTCATGCTTGCATTTCAGAGCTTCCTATTATTGTCTATAATACCCAGATATCTGGGTCAAACACTATGTTTTGGGGCTTTGGAGATAAGACCTATGTGAGAGGTGTGTGTATCTTTATAATTAAAAACATATTCAAGAAAGCAGATGATATAGTAAACCCTATGATATAAGCATAGACAGAATATAATGGATGCTCCTAGTAGAAGTGACTGAGATCAGAATGACCAGGAAAGGTTTCACCATTGATGGTGGAGCTGACTCAAGTCTGGAAATACAGCCAGTAGTCATTCCAGTGAGGAAATGGAGGGGATCAGAGGGGAAGGGCATGTCTGGCAGAGGTGTCACCATGGGCCAGGGAATGGAGACAAGAGAGCAGGGCTTGTTCAAAGAAGTAGAGTTTATTGCAAAATATGAGGAAGGAATGGTGAAAGAGAAAGCTGGAGAGATGGAGGGTGGGGGGGTGGGAGAGAGGCCAGACAGGGTGGTAGGTGCAGCTCAGGGTGGTGGTACCAAATGTCTGACTTCACATACATTGAATAGGTCTGTCAGTTTGTGCCAGTGTGATATCCAAACTACCTATAGTACTGCAAGTACTTCAGATGAGAGCGTCACCATTTTGAAATCCTTGAAATGAAAAAGATCAATCAGGTTAGAAATTCATTCACATTTGTACAAGAAATGTCAACATTATACTTGTCAACAAAAGAAGAGGAGGAGCTGTTAGATTATTGAAATATAATATCAACCATTGCAAACATTTGGTTGTCAAAATTAAAAAAAATATTTTTATCCTCTATTTGTAAGAAGAAAGTTTCTTATTGATGGTGATTATTTTCAAGTGAAGAAATTATGATTAAATTCTTGACAAGAAATTGCAACTAGCCATTTCAAGAATAAAAAAATTGTAAACTATCTAGGAATTTCATACAATTGAACATTTAATACCGTTTTTGTTCTTTTTATTATTTTTTTTACCATAAATTATACAATAGAAAGAGTAGGTAACTACTTTTTTTTTTACCCTATACTATTTTTTTTTTCTTTTTTTTTGGAGACAGAGTCTTCCTCTGTTGCCTGGCTAGAGTGCATGGCATCAGCCTAGCTCAACAACCTCAAACTCCTGGGCTTAGGCAATCCTCTGCTTCAGCCTCCAAGTAGCTGGGACTATAGGCATGTACCACCATGCCCGCTAATTTTCTAATATTTTGAGTCCAATATATTTCTTCTATTTTTAGTAAGATGGGGTCTTGCTCTTGCTCAGGCTGGTTTAGAATTCCTGACCTTGAGCGATCCTCCCCCTCAGCCTCTCAGAGTGCTAGGATTACAGGCATGAGCCACCATGCCCGGCCTACCCCATACCACTTAGACACTGCCAAAGCAGGTCCAGTTTACTCTAGTATGTTATACAGTTTATTTATGTACACCATAAGCTTAAAAAAGGCACATGCTTGCAGTACCAGCTCATTAGGAGGCTGAGGCAGGAGGATCGCTATAGCCCAGGAGTTTGAGGTTGCTATGAACTAGCCTGATGTCATGGCACTCTAGCCCAGGCAACAGAGCAGGACTCTGTCTCAAAAAAAAAAAAAAAAAAAAAATTCTCCTACTCTGTAAACAGGCATTCAGTGCAGAATGCCAATCGATGCTAGGGACTACCTTCACGATCTCTGCATCCCTGCAATGCTTAATGTCTGCTTGGGCATGAAGAAAGCACTCAGTCATGTCTGATGAGCTACACTGCAAGGAAGACATGTTGTTTTAATTAAAGGTGTGTAGAGAAGAAGGTAGGAGTCTTGGGCAGTGGGTTGGTAGGTGGGATGAGGTGAGAGCTTTCAGAATTAAAG